TCATCCCATGTGTCTGGATCAGAAGTTTCCAGCCATTGGATACACTCCAAACCCTCCAAAGGACCAGCAGAACTCCACTTGAAGTCGTAAGGGGTGTCCAGAGGAAGACATATGTAGTTATCAGTCCATGTATCAGGATCAGCTGCTTCTGTGATCTGTACGCACTTCTGCCCTGCAATCTCACCGGCCATCGACCATCTAAGACCAGGATCAGGCATACCATCCATCCAGCAGAAGTAGTTATCCTCCCATGTGTGTTCTTTGGACTCAGCAAACTCAAGGACTCTCATGCAAGTGTAACCGTCAGGAACTCCAGCACTGCTCCATTTGAAGTCTTCAGGCCAGGAAGGTAGATGTACAGATACTTCAGGACCTACCGCTGTCTCGTGACAGAGATAGTTGTCATCCCAAGTGTCGGGATCAGAAGTTTCCAGCCACTGGATGCAATCCAGACCTTCGATAGGGCCGGCAGAACTCCACTTGAGGTCGTAGGGGGCGGCTGTAGGGAGACAGATGTAGTTGTCAGTCCATGTATCAGGGTCAGCTGCTTCTGTGATCTGCACGCACTTCTGCCCTTCGATCTCACCGGCCATCGACCATCTTAGACCAGGATCAGCAAGTCCATTCTTCCAACAAAAGAAGTTATCTTCCCACGTGTGTTCTTTGGACTCAGCAAACTCAAGGACTCTCATGCAAGTGTAACCGTCAGGAACTCCAGCACTGCTCCATTTGAAGTCTTCAGGCCAGGAAGGTAGCCGAGGAGGACATGGTTTAGTGTTGCAAGCTTGGGTTTCTTGATCATCTCCCTCACAACCTGATCCGCCGTGTAATGGAGAGGGATTTTCACAGAACCTTTTTCGAGACTGAATTCCACCATCGCAAGATGCCGAGCACTCCGACCATTTGCCAAACTGACTCCATCCACCATTTACGGTCGTCAAAGAGGGGTCCTGGTGCCACCATGTATGACAGAGGTAGTTGTCATCCCAAGTGTCCGGATCAGACGTCTCCAGCCATTGGATACATTCCAAACCCTCCAAAGGACCAGCAGAGTTCCATTTAAGGTCGTAAGGGGAATCCAGAGGGAGGCAGATGTAGTTATCAGTCCATGTATCAGGGTCAGCTGCTTCTGTGATCTGCACGCACTTCTGCCCTGCAATCTCACCGGCCATCGACCATCTAAGACCAGGATCAGCAAGTCCATTCTTCCAGCAAAAGAAGTTATCCTCCCATGTGTGTTCTTTGGATTCAGCAAACTCAAGGACTCTCATGCAAGTGTAACCGTCAGGAACTCCAGCATTGCTCCATTTGAACTCATCAGGCCAAGAGGGAAGAAATGCAGTAACGTCAGGGCCCTCCAATTTTTCGTGACAAAGATAATTGTCATCCCAAGTGTCAGGATCAGAAGTTTCCAGCCATTGGATACACTCCAAACCCTCCAAAGGACCAGCAGAGTTCCATTTAAGGTCGTAAGGGGAATCCAGAGGGAGGCAGATGTAGTTATCAGTCCATGTATCCGGATCAGCTGCTTCTGTGATCTGTACGCACTTCTGCCCTGCAATCTCACCGGCCATCGACCATCTAAGACCAGGATCAGCAAGTCCATTCTTCCAGCAAAAGAAGTTATCCTCCCATGTGTGTTCTTTGGATTCAGCAAACTCAAGGACTCTCATGCAAGTATAACCGTCTGGAACTCCAGCACTGCTCCACATGAAGTCTTGAGGCCAGGAAGGTAGCCGAGGAGGACAGGGGTCAACATTACAGACTCTTGTCTCTTCTTCCTCTCCGTCACATGATGCACCACCATTTACTGGAGCGGGATCATCACAGGATCGTTTGTGAGTTTGGGTACCTCCACCGCAAGCAGCAGAACACTCAGTCCACTCTCCAAATTCACCCCAGTCACCGTTCACGGAGCAGCCCCATTCGCAGACCATCAAGTCTTCTTCAATGTTCCTGCATCTTTTGATTTCCCTTTTTGAGAGACCAGAATCATCGCCAGTTGTGGGGCATCCTCCTATCGAGCTTCGGAAACCCTCATCTAGACATTCGTTGTAGAGATAATCAACCTTCCAGTTGATGTTCTTGTCGCTGAAAACACATTCCTCGTGAGCCTCAACGGAGAGGATGAGCAGAGCAGTGAAAAGAAGTATGTTTGCCATCTTGTCAAATGGTGAATTGTGGAGTTCTCGTTGTTTGTGGACGTTTTTATACTGGCTTGTGCTCATAAGATTACGGCAATTTATTCCACTCGACTCCTTCCCAGTACTTGTAAGACTAAGGGTGACTGATGATATCACAGGGGTGGCTGATGATTTGGGATGTAGAACGTACTAGACTGTAGACAGAGAGACAACATGGAAACTGGAGCGTGGTTCAAATAGTGTTCCTCACGGTTGGCACTGGTAGAGGTCAAGCACCAATATTTTACTTCGAGTGAAGTATATTCAATGACGTCGAGTGAGCTATTTTGATAGTATTCGGTGCGGTTTCGCCATGCTGCAGCTGCTAATCCCGCCCTCATCCGATCAAAACATGAATTGTAAATTCCAAATAAAAATATTGATATTTAGTCAGAAACTTCAATGCAATGAATTAAATATAGACTCTCTATTTTAGTCTGTACGCATCAATGAAATTTATGTTGCCCGATTGTGTCAACTATAATATTCACTTTTAACGAACTCTGGCAACTTATACCTTAACTATACCTAATAAATAACGTTTACCACGCTAAAGTGCTAGCTATCCCGTTCACACTCAGAACCTTAAACTAAATATTGATAAGTGTCACGAACTTAAGTTTGCATGCTCCAATTCACTTCAACAATCTATATCATTCACAAATCTCATAACTGTACTCCATCAAAGAGAACGGTCGTTGATTTAGAATCAACCGAAAATATGCAAATTATACAAGCTTTCAATTCTGCGAAGTTTTTTTGCACCAAGTCCCAATACGTTACAATGACAACGAAAAAATGAAGTAATGGGCTTGACTGTCCGAAGTAACTTTCCTCCAGGCGGCTTAGTCAAAAATTGGTGCAAAACTTGCTTTAGAAGGGTCCTAGAGCTGCAGTCAAAGGGGAGTCAGACTAATATTAAAATGACCACAATAATTATACGTTTACATTTTTCAGCTTTTATTACCTTGGGACGGGGGACCTCAGGCTATCATGTTCATAAACAAACCGAATAGAGATTAGGCAGAATGACAGGCTGATCGCCGCCCAGTAAAGCTTTTATTGTTTACCTGTTTACAACGTCGTCTACAGGGATAGTGCATTTTTATAATGTACCCTTGCAAGATATTTTATGGGCATTATTTCCCATTCATTCATCCAGATTCCAGATTATCAGTTTCCAACTGTTGCCAAGCCTTTGAGATCCCAGCCCCCAAAAATGGTTGACATCCCAAGACAAATCTATCAGTATCATAACATGACGACATTGCTGACAAAAAGGACAGATCTCTCGTCTCGAACACATGACTGGAGCATTTCAAAATGAAGTACGAGGCATGGGATTTAATTTAAGACCAATGATCTAAAATTCCGTACTTAGAACTAATAAAATGAAGGCTAACGACTTTTTTGTTGGACACAGAACATGGTTCGACTTCGAGTCTGGATCTATCTATAAATAAAATATGTGCCATGCCGTCACCACCTTTAGCAATAGAAGGGTTGAGTAGAGCCAGAGGGTCAAATGTCAAAGGAACCATCAAAATGACCACAATTACGATGGTTTCAAAGCTCTAGCTTCTTTAATGGTCGTGAAATTCGATAATTTGTGGTATACTGTCAACCCCACACGAAGAAGATTTACCGACGTTATACATTACAAGCCTGGCTACAAATTCAACGTTTTGCTAGTGCGTGTGCGTTACTGCACTATTTGTAAAAGAAATCCATCTCTGATCGGTCGTTGAAATCTGTTTTGATCAAGTGGCATGCAAATAAAAGGAAGCAAGTCAAAATGTTTTTTCTCGTAAAGGTAAGGGTCTGGGCTATGGTAGATGTTGACTGTTATATAGAAATATTCGAGTTTGAATCTATCAATAATTCTCTGCCATTTCATCACCACCTTTAGGAACGTTTGAGTATAAAATGAGCTAATTTGTTTGAAACTGCACACGGTGGGTCGGTGGTGACGGCATTGCAATCGAAGTCGAACCATTCGGACTACATCCAGCAAAGATGTCATTATCTTTCGTCGACATCATTCCTTTCTTGTTCTAAAAATGGAATTTAAGAACATTGGTCGTAGATTCCGATTCCATGTTGTCAACCATTCAACAAAAATGTGTTTGAGACGAGGGATCTTATATATCTTTTTGCATTCGATAATCTTCAGTCCTTTTTGGTTAACAATGGTCGACTTGGTGGATCAATGTGGAAAGTATATATATTTATATATATTTCGATCATTAAAATATGTTGTTGGATGACAAAACGATGAATAAATGATATGAATCAAAATTTACAATCAAAATGAAAATGAGGTCAAGTTTTGAACCATCATGGTTGTGGTCGTTTTGATATATTTCATGTATTGACCTGAGATCTAACCACTTGACCTATACTACATCCAAGTTCCAACAAAGATGCTATATCATTGACATCACGCGTTTACACTATACGCACGATCAATTTTCCCTACAATGTAGCCCTGCCACCCATCGAGCCCTTGATTCGATATAAGATTCTTTAACAGCCTGTCGCAATCTTAATTGCTTCCTGAATGTCAATGCAAAGTAAGATCCGTTTTCAACTATATATTCACCTTTATAGTTTTGCCATTCAGTGCCAAACTAAGATAATCAACCATTTGCGATCTGTTTGCCTTTGGCAATGGAAATTTCTTTACTCAGTTGCATTCTAAATTTACGATAACGTTCTGTTCACGTCCTTTTGAGAATTCCAAACTACACGATATAAATCTAACACAAAATAATTACGCCAAAATTTAATTGCATTACATCATAATAAATATACATACTCAGTAAAAATGGATGAATAACAAACAACAACCTTGCTTGATCAATTAAAATATTGACTAGGGCACTCTGACTTTTAAAATTTGAATACATATTTGTTTACACATTCATGTATCGTTCAAAAAAATCCATTTGCTCATCACATTCAAATCAAACCAAATAAAGCCCCTTTTAATAAATCTTAGTTTAGAATTCCATTGTCTCAAAACAGAGATAGTTGTCATCCCAAGTATCTGGATCAGCAGGTTCCAACCATTGAATACACTCCAAATCCTTCAAAGGACCAGCAGAACTCCACTTGAAGTCGTAAGGGGTGTCCAGAGGAAGACAGATGTAGTTATCAGTCCATGTATGTGGATCAGCTGCTTCTGTGATCTGCACGCACTTCTGCCCTTCAATCGCTCCAGCCATCGACCATCTTAGACCTGGATCAGGCATTCCATCCATCCAGCAAAAGAAGTTATCCTCCCATGTGTGTTCTTTAGGCTCTGCAAATTCAAGGACTCTCATACAAGTGTAACCGTCAGGAACTCCAGCATTGCTCCATTTGAAATCTTCAGGCCAATCAGGTAGATGATTAACTATTTCAGGACCTTCAAATGTTCCATGACAGAGATAGTTGTCATCCCAAGTATCTGGATCAGAAGTTTCCAGCCATTGGATACACTCCAAACCTTCGATAGGGCCAGCAGAACTCCACTTGAGGTCGTAGGGGGACTTTAGAGGGAGACAGATGTAGTTGTCAGTCCATGTATGTGGATCAGCTGCTTCTGTGATTTGTACGCACTTCTGCCCTGCAATCTCACCGGCCATCGACCATCTTAGACCAGGATCAGCAAGTCCATTCTTCCAGCAAAAGAAGTTATCCTCCCATGTATGTTCTTTAGGCTCTGCAAACTCAAGGACTCTCATGCAAGTGTAACCGTCAGGAACTCCAGCACTGCTCCATTTGAAGTCTTCAGGCCAGGAAGGTAGCCGGACTGGGCAGGGTTTAGTGTTGCAAGCTTGGGTTTCTTCTTCATCACCCTCACAACCTGCTCCGCCGTGTAAAGGAGAAGGATTTTCACAAGACCGTTTCCGCGACTGAGTTCCAGTACCACATGATGCCGAGCACTCAGACCATTTTCCGAAGTGTGTCCATGCACCATTCACAGTCTTCAAAGAAGGGTCCTGGTGCCACCATGAATGACAGAGGTAGTTGTCATCCCAAGTATCTGGATCAGCAGGTTCCAACCATTGAATACACTCCAAACCCTCCAAAGGACCAGCAGAGCTCCATTTGAGGTCGTAAGGGGTGTCCAGAGGGAGACAGATGTAGTTATCAGTCCATGTATCAGGATCAGCTGCTTCTGTGATCTGTACGCATTTCTGCCCTTCGATCTCACCGGCCATCGACCATCTTAGACCAGGATCAGCAAGTCCATTCTTCCAGCAAAAGAAGTTATCCTCCCATGTGTGATCTTTAGGCTCTGCAAACTCAAGGACTCTCATGCAAGTGTAACCGTCAGGAACACCAGCATTGCTCCATTTGAACTCATCAGGCCACGAGGGAAGGAATGCAGTAACATCAGGGCCCTCCAATTTTTCGTGACAGAGATAGTTGTCATTCCAAGTATCTGGATCAGCAGGTTCCAACCATTGAATACACTTCAAACCCTCCAAAGGACCAGCAGAACTCCACTTGAAGTTGTAAGGGGTGTCCAGAGGGAGACAGATGTAGTTATCAGTCCATGTATCAGGATCAGCTGCTTCTGTGATCTGTACGCATTTCTGCCCTGCAATCTCACCGGCCATCGACCATCTTAGACCAGGATCAGCAAGTCCATTCTTCCAGCAAAAGAAGTTATCCTCCCATGTGTGATCCTTAGGCTCTGCAAACTCAAGGACTCTCATGCAAGTATAACCGTCAGGAACACCAGCATTACTCCATTTGAAGTCTTCAGGCCATGAAGGTAGCCGAGGTGGACAGGGGTCAACATTACAAACTCTTGTTTCTCCTTCGTCTCCCTCACATTGTGCACCACCTTCTGCGGGCTGAGGATCATCACAGGATCGTTTGCGAGTCTGAGTGCCTCCACCGCAAGCAGCAGAACACTCACTCCATTCTCCAAATTCACCCCAGTCACCGTTCACGACACAGCTCCAGTCACACAATATCAAGTCTTCTTCAACTTTCCTGCATCTTTTCTTTTCTCTCTTTGACAGGTCAGATTCCCCTCCAGTTGCAGCACATCCTACTATAGAGCTTTTGTACCCCTCATCTAAGCATTCGTTGTAGAGATCTTCTTTCTTTCTGAGCTGCTTATTTTTGAAGGTACAGTCGTCTTGGGCATCAACGGCGAGGATGAGCAGAGCAGTCAAAAGGAGCAAGTTCCCCATCTTTCAGAAATGGTGAATAATGGATTACTTGTTGCTTGTAAGCAGCTCTTAAGTAATGGCTTAAGCGCATGCAATAACGGTGATTTATTTCGCTCCGTCAATTCCCAATACTGCACCGGTACCATTGTAGCTAATGATAATTGTCGTAATCAGTACCAAGGTAACTAACGAGCGACGAGCGTCATTGGTTGTGACGTTAAAGCTAGACGATATTGGACTGCTTGACTAGGGACCAGGAAAGCAACATTGGACCTGGTACGTGGTAAAGTAGTGCTCATGATCAATCTTGGTGGAGGTCAGGTACCGTTATATTATTCTTCTCTAGACGATGACTTAGACTAAAGATTATTTTGAGAGTTCGCGGTGGGATCATTGGCTATTGATACCGCCCTCATTCGATCTTACGTTTGAGAGTCATAAGCTTACTGTAGCAATCAATACAAATCGCCTAAATTATGCTCTAAACAAGTCGTGTTTGCTCAACTAATATACTATCATTTCAGTTAGATCTAATTTATAATGTGTAAATCAAGCAATAGTTTTCACTACCAATTCACGAAGATTCAAAATATCATTATAGTCATATACGCTTCTATCTTCGTCAGCTTCGACTTGTAAGCCTTCCTTTCGCATTTCAGTGGCTTTCACAATGCGTCCCTACTCCCTATGTCTCCAACTCTGGTGGAGAAAGATACTCCCATGGTATATACCATATTTATATTAATGATAGATATCGACAACAGACTCCTGGAGTCTTGAAGCTCTGTTACCAGTTACCACCGCCCCTGGTGCAACCCCGTCAGGTTAAAGACGGAGATGCAGTCTTCCACCAGGAAGACTGCATCTCGTAGGAGTATGCAGTGTTCCTGGTGGGGTTACACGAGACATGATAGCCTGTGAGCGTGTTAGAGTCCTGGGGTTACACAAGACGTGGCAACCTGTGTGAGCGTGTTAGAGTCCTGGGGTTACACAAGACGTGGCAACCTGTGAGCGTGTTAGAGTCCTGGGGTTACACGAGACGTGGCAACCTGTGAGCATGTTAGACTTAGAGTCCTGGGGTTACACGAGACGTGGCAACCTGTGAGCATGTTAGACTTAGAGTCCTGGGGTTACACGAGACGTGGCAACCTGTGAGCGTGTTAGAGACCTGAGGTTACACGAGACGTGGTAGCCTGTGAGCGTGTAGACCGCTCGTCTATCGTTCTTTTGAACGCTTCTATCTTATCAGTCACCTTGATTTTTAAAAATTGTATGAAGATTGTTTACCTTAATTTAATCAACGTTCAAAAATTCATCAATCGAAATTGGTTCATTAATAGTCCTGACTGCAGGGGCCTAATCTTATGAAAATTTCGAATTACCAGTGGCAGTGTAGAGTGATTTTCATTTAGCAGGCTCGATTGAAGAATTGAGTGGGATCTGCAGCGAATAAATTATTCGTAAGCAACGTACGAGCATAGTAAAGATCCGCTCAATCTCGCAGCTCTCTCCACTTCTGACGTACAAATCACTGAAATTTAGTCTTGGGAGCGAGTCAAAGAGAGAGAGAGAGTCAGAGAGAGAGAGAGAGAGAGAGAGAGAGAGAGAGAGAGAGAGAGAGAGAGAGAGAGAGAGAGAGAGAGAGAGAGAGAGAGAGAGAGAGAGAGAGAGAGAGAGAGAGAGAGAGAGAGAGAGAGAGAGAGAGAGAGAGAGAGAGAGAGAGAGAGAGAGAGAGAGAGAGAGAGAGAGAGAGAGAGAGAGAGAGAGAGAGAGAGAGAGAGAGAGAGAGAGAGAGAGAGAGAGAGAGAGAGAGAGAGAGAGAGAGAGAGAGAGAGAGAGAGAGAGAGAGAGAGAGAGAGAGAGAGAGAGAGAGAGAGAGAGAGAGAGAGAGAGAGAGAGAGAGAGAGAGAGAGAGAGAGAGAGAGAGAGAGAGAGAGAGAGAGAGAGAGAGAGAGAGAGAGAGAGAGAGAGAGAGAGAGAGAGAGAGAGAGAGAGAGAGAGAGAGAGAGAGAGAGAGAGAGAGAGAGAGAGAGAGAGAGAGAGAGAGAGAGAGAGAGAGAGAGAGAGAGAGAGAGAGAGAGAGAGAGAGAGAGAGAGAGAGAGAGAGAGAGAGAGAGAGAGAGAGAGAGAGAGAGAGAGAGAGAGAGAGAGAGAGAGAGAGAGAGAGAGAGAGAGAGAGAGAGAGAGAGAGAGAGAGAGAGAGAGAGAGAGAGAGAGAGAGAGAGAGAGAGAGAGAGAGAGAGAGAGAGAGAGAGAGAGAGAGAGAGAGAGAGAGCTCATTCCCCGGAGCTGGAGGACATGATCAAGCTCGGTCATAGTTTCCATGTTGGTGGTGAGCAGACTGGAACAAGGTAATGAGTCTAACACAAACAAGGATATTATAACGATATTCTAATTCGCTCTACTGAAGCAAAGTCTGGAGCAGTTCGCAATCTCATAATCATATCATTGAAACTAACAAATAAATAATCACATTGTTTACACTTTCTTTATACAAAATATCGTCAAATTTTGACTTCGGTCTCCTTGCGCGGCTACTATACGTCCTTTACCTGGGGACCCCAGGCTACTATGTTCATAAACATAGAATAGAGATTCAGCGGAATGACAGGCTGAGCGCCGCCCAGTAGTACTAATACGTCCTTAACAACATTCGTCAGGATATTTTGATCGTGGCGCCATGTACGCGAGTTATAGTTATACGATGTACCTACGTCTTCAACTCAGTTTTTACAATATCCTCAATCCTGAACTGATGCTACAATTTGCAATTACAGTACTTATACTACTAGTACTACCTACTACTAGTACTAATATCATAAAATTTAAAGGAACATTATTTTCAAATTTTTAAAACCTGAACAAATTTTGTCCTTCAAATGTTATAATTTTTGTACCAAAAGTTGCGTCTGACTATAAGGCTTATTCATTATTACGATCCTGTAAAAATTATTTCAAAATATTTGATATTTTAGGAATTATATGTAATTATAATTATATGCATTTTAAGCGAGAAACCTGTTTTTCGTCCTTTTTACACTTTTGCACAATGGAGGCCCACATTAGTGAAGTCATTCCCGATCTCATTTTTAAATCCCGGGATTCGGAAATCCCGACCGAAATAAATCCCGGAATTCCCGAAAATCGGGAAAAATTTCCTGGATTCCCGAAAATCGGGAATTTCCCTGTTCCCGGAAATTGGGATTCCCGAACATTGAAAGTTTGTTAAAAGAAACAAATGTTCCTCAAATTCAACTTTCATCAGCTTTTTTATATTTTCGCAATACTGTATCAACTTTGCAGCGATCGTGTTGTGAGATTTTGGAACGTTTAAACCTGCTCTATTCATCAAGCGCCTAAAATCTTTAAATTTTTCAAACGCTATCAAGGGTAGACCAATGCACTAAACGAACAATCATTTCAGTAGCTTCAAGTTTAGATGACGGCGCAAAGAAAGTGCAGCCAACGATGGTTCAGTTCGAAGTATTTTTGAAAAGTTAGTATTTGCGATGTCGGTATCACAATGTGGTGTGCTGAAACCAAATGAGAAATCAATCCTTCAGTTGATCCACCACTGGTCTTTAAAACTTTCGAACAGTGTTTACATCGAGCAAATCCTAACTTGGTTCGATGTCCCTTTTTGAACTGCTGCCATGCCAAGCAGCAGAACATTTCGAAGAAAAAGGAACTTCTGAAAAGAATTGTTCGGTGTTGGTGGTTTCACTATGAGTCACATAAAGCAAAGAAGAATCATTTTGAGAGTGATATTGAACCTCAAAAACGTTTACATCGTCACCTGAACTCGCATTAGACTCTGATATATAGCTTTGTTTGCAAAAAAGTAATAAAGTCGGAAATATGATCAATTGACGTGTAAACGTGAAACAAAACCAACTCGCGCACAGCAAAGCAACCACACTCCACATAAGTGGTCAGATCAGGCAGCTATAGCTGCGCGCATATTTTCCAACAGTATGCAATTGCAAATTGTATCACGTTGTGACCCCCACGGTCGTCTCACTTTCACTATGGTTTAGATTTTCTACGATAGAGGGGGAGTCGCGCGGCACTCGTACGTGCGCGGCGGGTCATACAACGTATGACAAGTATGCAACACGTGCAACGTAACTGTAACCGGCCTAGATTTTATTAGATCGAACGCAGAAATTAGATCGAGCGCAGGAATTAGATCAAACGCAGGCACGAGATTGGAGATATATATTGCAAATATAAATACATTGAAAGCCGCACGTACCGACGACGCGTGGCGATGATTGACGGGTGATACTCGTAAAATATCTGTTCCAGGCCATATATTGGACCGTCGACGAGTCCAACTCGGCGCGCGTTCTGGTAGGTTGTAAACCTACAAGGCGATGAGTGTTATATCATGATTATTTATTTATTACCCACAACCCAGCGTGAGCATCGAATTTTCGAGTATTAGCAAGCTAATCTAGGCTTAACGGGTGATACTCTTACAATATTTGTTCCAAATATTAGCTGACCGTCGACGAGTCCAACCCGGCGCGCGTTTTGGTAGGTTATAAACATACAAATTTAGGCGCTAAAATGTTTAAAATTACATTGCATAAAATTTTCCAAAATTTGGGACATACAAAAATTTTCCGGTCGGCCGGAATTTCTTGTATCACGTCGTGACCCCCACGGTCGTACTTGTTTCACTATAGAGTTTTAACGATACAGCTACAGGATCGAGGGGCTAAGTGCAAAGAAACTGCTGCTCACTGCTGCTCACTGCTACTAACTGCTGCTCACTTCTGCTCACTGACAGCAGCAGCGAGCAGCAGTGAGCAGCAGTGAGCAGCAGTTAGTAGCAGTGAGCAGCAGTGAGCAGCAGTTAGCAGCAGTGAGCAGCAGTTAGCAGCAGTTTCTTTGCACTTAGCCCCTCATGGCAGGGGAGCCGCGCACTCGTGCGCGGCGGTTCATGCAACGTATGATAAGGAATTTCTTGATTCACGATGTCAATCCTTCGCATCTCGCCGATCTGCATAAGGTTGCATGTGGTTGCGAGAAGCATTATTGGATGCGCGCGCGCGACCCAGTATGCAGTAGTGCATCGCGCTACAAGGAATTTCAGGTCAAAAATGGTTGGGAAATTACCGACATCGCGGAATTAACTTCACTAGCCCACACACAGCTTAAAATAACTGTACTACACGGTGAATTTACATTATTCACTGCACTTTGATGCAACTTTCAACTTTTTACCTGGGGACCTCAGGCTATCATGTTTATTAACATAATTAATAGAGATTCGGCGGAATGACAGGCTGAGCGCGGCCCAGTAATCAACTTTTGGTACCAAATTTATCAAAATCGGAGACAAACAATTTTGTTGACATACGTGGCATGCCACTTTTCGCGCGCGCCGCACTAACGTGCTCTATCTGGACTCATATCAAGTTCGACACGCACTAAAGTTAAACAAAAGAACTTTGACTGTCGGACTAGAGTTTTGAAATCTCCAATATCTCCAATAATCAAGCAACTATTCTTTACGAGCTTAAATTCTATTCTAGTTTGTTTGTTTTCCACTTGTCTCATGCTGTTCAATTATGTGTGTATGTAATTTCTATTATCCATATTCATATGATCTATGTAAGTGTAACTCTAACTTCGTTTTATAGATCTAGATTGTAGATTATGCTTGTGAGTTAAGACTAAGTACAAAGTAGTGAGCTAATTAGTGATTCACTCCCGGCGCGAGAACAAAGCGCCAGGAAAATAAGACTATTTTTCGCGCGAACTTGTAAATTTACTGACGCCGCGCAGAGGTGCTCCTTCCTGGTGTATCCATAATATCTCTGATATTTGTGATACGTAACATGTATCAACAATTTTGTGCTCGCACTTGTCCCTTATTTATATTACACTGACTATATAATAGTTAGATTAGCTATAAACACCGAGCAGGGCTTGCTTTTAGATCAGCCCTTCCAGACGATCTCGAAAGTTCCTCCCAGCTCGCCACTTGATATTCCACTTCGAGTATAAACTAAAAGCAGACACTCCTGATCACTATGTTCGTAGGAATATCTCCTTAACCCTCATGAGCTGTTGTCCGTATAGATTGTCTTAACAATTGATTTATGTTCTCATCTTCTCATGGTTCCCTTCTTGCTTCTATAAGTCTTGATTAGGGGTCAATCACATATTACGTAATCACTTTTTGGTAAATTTGTACCCCCTCCCCCTCCGTAATCAGTTTTACAATGATTTCGCTAGAACAAGGAAAACGCTTATTTATTGCGCTAGGAAAATAGAAATAATGAAATATCCATTTGAGGACACATGACACTCATTACTATAAAAACTCGACTAGTTCCGATTTACATAAGTAATATTAGTATCATTGATCGGTAGCCATTATTGGTTATTTTAAAAGAGTTTTCAATAACAACTGAGAAACATAATTCATTGCTCAGTGCTGCAGTTCAGGTCAATCGAAAGGAGCCATCAGAAGCTGTGGTATTCATACTTCACAGAAATCGAGATATTTCTAGCTTTTTGGCTTGAATATCTAAAACGTATGACTTATTCTATTCATCATAATGTTTTGTTGTTAGCTGGAATTTTGTAAAAATTTGTTCTTTCCATGGCTACCGGTAACAGAAAGGGAATAGAATACGTTTATATGTAGAACTAGACACATCCAATATACTTCAGTCGTAGAAAAGTTTTAATGTTAAAAATTTTAGGTGTTATATTATGTTAGGTAAATATTAATACATGTTGTTGCCGGTCTCTCCCTTGGGGATTCAAGTTATATTGTTTATTTTCAAGGGCGTTTTTATTTCACGTAAGCACTGAAAGGGAGGGGCTGAAGATGCTTACCCGTGTGGAATTGTTTGAAGTCTTTTATAACTTCACTGATCAGAAACTTCAAGAACTTGGGGAATGGAAGAGGGGGTAGACCGAGAAATTCATAAAATTTAGTAAGATTTGACTTGAACCCCAAGGTTAACGGCCGGCAAATATCACTCCAATGGACCATATCGTCGTTATCTTGGTCTAGTATAGATTTATTAAATTCTCACATCTCTTAACACACAACAGCTATATCATAACAATCAGATCAATGTTTTACTACAGTCCTCCGTCAGGTAATATGTACTCACGTGATGACCAAATAAGGAAGTCACGTGATGACCAAATAAGGAAGTCACGTGATGACCAAATAAGGAAGTCACGTGATGACCAAATAAGGAAGTCACGTGATGACCAAATAAGGAAGTCACGTGGTTGAGGAACACAACATATATATCATATATATTATATATATATCAGGAGTTATTGAACATGACTAGACATACACAAGAGTTGCTTGGTAGGAGGAAACTATAAATATCCCAAATCCTTTTCCTTAGCATTATTCACAAAAATTAAAAATTAAACAAGCATGATAGGGCATGACGACATAGTGGCTGTAAAATTGGTTAAATGATGGAAAACACATTCTTATCACTCATTAATGCTAAACGCATTTTGTGACGGTTAATTTACTCCTTTTAATTGACTTTTTAAAACAAAATCATGCATTTTACATCAACATGGACCAAGGCTATATTATAAAGGGTTTTGTTAATAAATCGTCAAATATTGTCGCAGTAGTAAATAAAGTAACTCGTACCGACCAAGATCTGGTTTGTAAACCATAAGGATACTATCAGGACGCATTGTAACATAACCTTATATGGTAGTGTTACCATGGTTACACTACCATATAAGGTAATGTTACAAGTACACATATGTATCACATTATACTCTTAATTCTTATACACAAATCATCACCATATTAGAATTCCAGAATATATTATCGGTACAATACATGTGTGTGTGTGTGTGGTCCTGTTAAGGTGTGTGTATAATATTAGCGTGTTGATGCTCCGTGTGGTGGTCAAACTAAATAACTCTGTGAAGAGAGGTGAGATCTCTCTTCCTCTCTATCTCTCTCTCGGAGGTGATAACAATAATACAATTTACAGAATTTCACTTCTTTTCTTTTTTGTTGGAAGAGAATAGCAAGACCCGCTAACTATTTATAGGTATTTTTAGTGTATCAGATCAAAGAATTCAACCCTCGCAATATCTCAATATTAACCCTCTAAAATCTAAACATCGCTTGCAACAGGGCGGCGGTACACGCGATGACCAAATAAGGAAGTCACGTGAATCGCGTGACTGCGTTTAGCGACTCCCACAGCCCCACATTACTGGAGATGACCGACTGGCTGCACACTTTGTCATTATTCTGGTTCTGTGCCAAAACTGGTTCCAGTAGTGCATTCCTCAATAGCAAGTTTTAGTTCCTTAACTGAAGGGTGTGTATCCAACATAATATGGTAGATGTTGCAGCACGCCGGTCATCCCTCGTTATAGATGAACAACAAGTCAATTGAATATACTAAATATGGACATTATGTTAGGTACAAATCGCATATATATTAGGAATATATCATATGGGTATAATCATGTAAAGTAAACTGTAAGTATCAGAAGGCCATCCATTGTATATAAGTAAACCTAAAAACAATAAATAAGGAAATTTATGTTAACATCACAAATCTAAACTCTTTTAAATCGTTACCATTGTGAATTAGCCGGTCCACACGATCAACTTTAATTGTTAATTAATTAATTAATTATGTTTGGTCTACAAACGATAAATAGATCGCATTGGTACATATCAGTTCCTAGTGTGTGGCAGTTTTATAATTATTGTAAGGACAATAATGGTGGTTAATTGTCTGTGAAATTCCACAGCAAGGAAACAAAGCTACGGGAAATTTAAATACGTATAAATCATGCTCGGTTAGCCAGATTAATGACATTTTTGTGGCAAGTAGTGGTTAAAGTTGATCACGTGATTTCCGGTTTCAAGTATAATACCTATAATCTCCTGAGAACGGAGGTAATATGAAAACAGACGTTGCACACAACTTTCTGTCAATTCTGTTCTCCCCCCAACTTTCATTCCTTCCCACATCTTTCTGTTAGCGGGAATACCGTCTCGTCACATGTAATTTTTAATAGATCACGTGATAACCAAATAAGGCAGTCACGTGTTTTGTAACGCGATCTTTTTTAGTAGTAGGAAGTGTGGTTGGTTTGAGGGTTGGAGAGAGAAACAAATATTAGGATTCAATACTGTAGCTGTCCAACGGTTAGCTACTTCGTGCTAGCAAAAAATACCGGAGTCCTTTAAAAATCTCTCACTCTTGTTTGATGAATATACTCTCCCAAAACTACAAACAATCTCTATCCACTCCACCAAAAACAGAGCTTCTTGTTCATTTTTTGATGTTTGATTGGGGTGTGTTGAAACATGTTGAAATGTGTATTATAGGTGAGATTATAGTGGAAGAAGACTGTTTTTGATGGGCGCTCATACAAATCCGATTTAAACAATCACACCAAGATATTAGGTTTTGATACTTTTAGTTTCTGGTTGTCGTTCATTTTTGCTAACTTACGCTTACATGGACACATTTCCATCGTGACAAAGTTGTTTTTAATTTATAGTATTAATTTGATAGTTTAAATACGATTGAGTTAAACTGTCACGTGCGAAATATGCCCAAGTATAGCCAAAAACAGGTGCCAAACCGTGAAACTCTACCGGAATTGACCAGCAACTGAAATGTTGACGATCAGTATTCAGTTCAAGTGTAGGAATAAGTTTGTTGCTGATCTGTCACGGCAGGGTTCCACAGTTTGACAGGTTTATTAAATCATTTTAAAACGTTAGTATATTGAGCTTAAAATGAAATAACAAATTCCACGCCATTCGCTCTCTGGAGATCACAGCCCGGTTGTTTCAGATCTTCTCCAAATAAATTCGAATCACATATCTCTAGTTGTGTAATAAACGTGTCGCACAACAGATCATATCATACATACTGGAAAAAAACAACAACATCCGACACGTAACCAGCACCAGGCTCAACATCTCAATCTTTGGTAGACTCCCATCCAATACAGTTACTCCAGAGCAAGCACAACATAGTTTCATGATGCGACCACGTGGACACCCACCACACCACGTGTCAAACCAAACACTCCACGTGGCGCGTGTGTGTGTCACGTGGCACGTTGTGTTCATGGAAACAGAAACACGGAACATCTCGCCGTCCATCTTGTTTATTCCTTTGGTATACCCGACACCGACGACCTTACATCGGGTGATCAGTACTACGTGATGGTAGAGGGATCATGTGCGCAGATCAGATCACAATAAAATATCAGTCAGATCACACGATCTCGCACACACACACACACACCCACTGTCACGCAGTATGCAGACCCAAGCTTCTGTTTCGCATACGCAGCTTTCCTGCAGCTCATATAATCATACCATCATATCCGAATCAAGTGCGTGCACGTGCACTTATGTAATAACACGTGCACAAACAAAGACAAACAATTCATTGCCAGAACACCACGAGAGTAGTGACGTCACGACGCTTCTTCTTGGTACGTCCAGAATGAAAGACTACGTCGTGGCACGTGCCTCTGATCTCGATTTCTTTTTATGTCCGCGGCGATCTGACAATGTAACCACCCCTATCTTTTGAGTCAATCGAACCAATAAGACCATCCCATTCCTTGAGTATAAACTTCTAGCATTCCCCGTGTTGTTCCTCATGAAAGCTCTTGAAAACACGTGTTGACCAAATAAGGAAGTCACGTGGTTTGTCACGCGACCTTGTGAAGTCACGTGAGAGTTAAGTTCTGCACGTGGTGTAGTTTGATAAATGTCATTTGATGAAATATAGCTTGTGGGCCCGACTCGGCCCGGGGCTACTACAGGGTTGGTTCGTTGCCTTGGCAACGGTAGTTTGTTTGTCTTTTAAACTTGACACACTCTGTTACACATCTGTGTACCCTGAAAAAAGATTATTTCCCGTTAAATACTAGTCAAATAATCAAAAACTAATTTACTGTTAATGATTGGTTATATAACGGAGTGCAGTTTCCCTTTTTCTTAAAACATTCTGAGCAAGTAAAATTTTAAATTGATAAGTTTTCTCAATGCTGGTATGAAGTTTTGGGCACTAGCGTATATAAAAAACACAATATAAACGGGAGTGTAGTGAGTATCATATCACAAACAGACCGAGCTGAAAAAATACCGCTCTACAATTAGTCGCCAAAGATACGAAATGAAATTTGTTAAGCCACGTCACATCTCTGGAAACAGTCCAGATTTTACGTGAAATTTAACCGAATCAAAATTCTTCGAATTACTCTGGAAACTGTCCACACAGCAATATAATATAGATTGTTGAGTTATGTAGCACTGAGAAGTAATTAACTGGGTAGGTTGTGTACACTGTGTTTCTGGATGTTATCTAAATAGTTTGCTATTTCATCTACAAGTGAAACACATTCTTCAAATCAATTTGTCATGGAGCCAGGATGTATGGACTACCTACACCAGGTTTAAAGTTTAAACGTTCCCGTCCCATTACCAATACTCAATACATATAATAGATCTGTACTACATTGTAATTAGTTAAAATAAGTACAGGCCACAGATTTGGCAGACTTTTCTGGTGCGGCCCGATGGGAAGCCAGACGGTGGTAAATCAGCAGGAGTTCACGCCGTATCTCTTACACGGTGGCTCTAACATAATTGATAAGATGGGTAAGCAGGGGATCAGGTTACCAGTTCGTGAGTGGTGTGTTCCTTACCAGAGGAACGGTGTTCCGTTACCGGTTCCTTTAGGTGCAAATACTAAGCTGGTTACAGGTGAGCTACTTCAAACTGGCAACACTAGACGGGAGAAGGAGGAGGGAGGAGTGAAGGAGGTGTTGACTGATAAAGTTTTACAAGATATCGAGAAGTTCTAGAATGAACTGATCGATAATTCTGGTGCGTTCGTAATCTCCAGCGCCGGAAGAAACTTGGAGAAGTTATGCTTGTTGTAACGAGTATAACTCTTCATGGCTAGTTAAATAAGTTAAAGGTGTGACAAGTTATGAACAGTGCACGTGTTGGAAAAGACAGGGTCACAATATTAATGTGGTATTATGATAAACAGCAATCTCTACACAGGGTCAGGGAGGAATGTTTGATGATATGCAAAGCATGCTATACTCATCCATCACACAAGAATAGCAGGTAACCCTCACAATCCACATCCGTGAACACACACACTCACACAGTACACACCCCAAACCATGTAATGATCACACACATTCACTGCATGATTCTCATTGTAAATTGTATAGCAGAGAGAGATACCACTGTGTTCTACCAGAAGAAACTATTACATATGAGTGCTGTGTTGAAATTATAACACAACCAGCCATCTACCATGACCACCAGACTTGGAGACCACCAGACCCGGAGTTAGAATGACCCAAACCCTGGGTTAGAACTAATAAAAGCGTTCTGTACTGCCCACGTGGTTTTCAGTACCAATATACGCGCACTAGCACGGTCACGTGGATCGCAAGTACGAAAAGAGCAGAAAATAAAGTCACGTGGGCGCAAGGGATATCACGTGACTTGAGATATACATCCTCATTGTACCGAGGAGAGGGAGAGAGCTGCTGGGAGAAGTTGGTACGCCACAATGCCACATACCTTTTGAGAGTAGAACCAGGGGGAAGGAGGGTGAAAAAGGGGCGGAAAGAGAGAATATGAAGGAAATAAATGGGAGCAGCGGATGAGAGAAGGCGATGAGGAAAAGGGGGAGAGAATGACGGGGAGAGAAGAGTGAAAAGAATGCAAGAAGAATAGTTGGAGATGTGCCAAGCAGGAACACTAGCTGAGTTCAAGGACCAGACATATAGCTACCATATAACTACTTTTCCAAGATACACATCAGAGACGCCTACTTAGAAACAGTCGACGTAAGAGTTCTCATTTTAATATTTGCGATCATTTATCATTATCAATTTTAAATACTATGGTCTGCTTAAAGTTAAGAGGCCTAGGTACAAGCGAGGCCTCTAGAAATTTGAGTTGGTGCTTGAGATAATCGGGCATTAAAATTCCGAGAACTTTATATTGGTGGGATTTGACAGGGTGGCCGAGAAATTACAGATATAATGATGGTATCTGATTGGTTGCAGAGGTGAAGTTTGACAGACTGAAATATCAGACTTTCAAAATACACCTCCGCTATCATGATATGCGGTTAACAGTACAGTGAGATGCCGCGAAGTACGCAGGAAGGGCGATCTTTTTAGCTGTGATTGGGCAAGGTTAATCTGTTAATGAGGTTCGGAAGTTGCGAATTTTTATAAAAACGAGAGCTAATCTTTATTTGTAACGTCAATCTCATTTCCAAAGAACATTCCTCTAAAATGGAATTAAGTGCCAAATTCGAGAATCACAAAAATAGAACAACAATTCCACAGCAAAACCGCAACTTCCACAGCAAAACCGCAACTTACACAGCAAAACCGCAACTTAGTACTTACATGTATGATTTTGTTTCTGAATTCCCTCACTATCGCGGGAACACCAATGCTCGTCTTCAGCCCGAAAATATCGCACATCTGTGGCCAGCTCTCGAAGACCTGCCTCTCATCAACCTCGTGCCAAAGCGGTAAAATGAACCGCTCCCCGCGGTTTAGCTGCCGGCAGATTAACCGCTCCAGGACTCCCATTGCGTGCTCGTCTTGGAAGAAGGCGGGCGATAGGATAACAATGGCGTATTTGGCGTTGTTGATGGCTTCAGAGCAGCTGGCTGGTTTTGATTTGGTGTCTAACTTGACTCTGTAGTCGCAGTCCTTTAATTTCTCGGATAGTGTTTTGGCGACTGTCATTCCATCTGAGCGGGAGTAACAGATAAAGGCGTCCACGTTCGTCACTTTTGTTGACCGGTTCTTCAATCTGGAAACCTGTGTGAAGTGATGTCATGTAACTGTTAAACGCAACTGTTAAAATTGAACGTGTTTAAGATGTTTAAATTGCATTATTTTGTGGTGTGATAAAGCCATTAAAATGATATAAAATTACGTAATCTTTATGAAATTAATTAATTTTGTTGAATTATTACGTAGTCGACGAGGGCTAAATAAAATGCTGTGATATTTATTCATTAATTTATCAATCAAAATTCATCATAACATTAAATTAATAATGTGGGGTGGAGTCCGGTAAAAATACATTTTATCATCTTTTCAAGATAACATAATTGTGTTAATTGAATCTGACTAAGATAAAACACCACCCAGAGTTCAAACACGGGGGATCACTCCCTCTATTATACGGGGAATCCTTGTTTCTATATAATGGGGGATCATTCTCTTTTGGCAGGGGATCAACCCTATAGATGGGATCACCGCTATTTTGGGAGAGTTTACCATTATTCCTCCTACGTGTACCATGATAATGGTATTCTCAAGACTATCCGGTGCGGATAATTCCAAACAAAAGACTAAAGAGTATCTCGGCCACACTCGGGTAAACACCGTGGTAAAGACCGTGGTAAAGACCTTGGTAAAGACCGTGGTACTCACCAGAGTATGTGGCGTTTAGTGGTTAGGGTCTAACGCGTCATTTGTTTAAACAGTAACATCCCCGGCCCGCATGGGGGAGGATCATGGAGGAAAATACCGGAAAGGAATAATACTCATTCTTCTGCTCGTATCTAATTATATCTACCGGCACCAATAAATAATTAACCCAACTAACAATGTTAATTTAATATTAATTTAACGTTAAATAAATGTAAATTAAATGTAAAATGATGTAAATTTCACGTACCATTCTGGTGGTCAGGCCTGCGTAAGGTAAGCGTCTCTTTCTTGGCGAAGAATCGTCCAGACTCTCGCTGCTGCACGTGCTACTTGTTCGGTGTAAGGCTGCTGTCGTCTCTTGCTGTTTCCGGTCTCGCTCTTCTAGCATCAACAGGTAGTATTGTCCTAGAACACAAGGAAATATTTAGTTTGGAAGTACTTGAAGTATGTTGTGTTTAAATGTCGGGAGATGTTTTCTTTTATGGAGTATTGTCTTAAAATACAAAGAAATGTTTTGTTCTTTGGTTAACAGGTATTAGGCTGGCACACAACAACATTATCCTTTAGTGAAAGGAGCTGGGTTCTATCTGACAGCCGATTAAGGCTTAAGCAGGTATTGTCTCAAAGTAACAGGAAATCTTTACTTTCTGATGTATTATTATCTGTAAATACACGGAAATATTTCGAAGCCTGCATTAACAAGTTCTTTGTGCAAAATCAGGTGCAAAACAAGCACAAACATAGTAACAACTAGCAGGCAAATAACTTTTCTGCCAGATAAAGGTACCAGATGAACCGCCGAGGAAGCACCAACAACCACAAAAGATCTGAGCAGAACATGAGAAGCCTAGACGAACGAAACACCACAGCTCACAATAATACAGAAGTATATAAGAATAAAACAAAGCGTCGGGTAATGAACACTTCACGTGGGTACTGCGTTATAAACAGAGAGACGACTAACAATGATCTGGTACAACTCAGACACACTCTTTCTAAAACTTTCTAAAACACAAGGAAACGTTTTGTTCTAAAATACTAAGTCTACAAAGTTAATCTAAAATCTTGTGTGTACTATGATATATCTGAAGGAGAGACTGTTGACAAATGACAATAACCAGGTTGAACCACCCAGACTGCTGACAATGATCTGATACAACCACATTGCAACCACCCAGACACTAATAACATTCATTAGCTTCCCCCACTTTCTCTTACACAACAAAACAAAGGTCTTCTCGCTCCTCTGAAGGACGGATCAAGTTACTACTTCAGAAGTATTGGTGCTCTCTCTCCAGCACTTAATTAGAACTCAGAGAGAGAGAGAGAGAGAGAGAGAGAGAGAGAGAGAGAGAGAGAGAGAGAGAGAGAGAGAGAGAGGGAGTGAGAGAAAAAGAGAGAGATAGAGAGAGAGGGAGAGAGAGAAAAAGAGAGAGAGAGAGAGAGAGAGAGAGAGAGAGAGAGAGAGAGAGAGAGAGAGAGAGAGAGAGAGTGAGAGAGAGAGAGAGAGAGAGAGAGAGAGAGAGAGAAAGAGAGAGAGAGAGAGAGAGAGAGAGAGAGAGAGAGAGAGAGAGAGAGAGAGAGAAAGAGAGAGAGAGAGAGAGAGAGAGAGAGAGAGAGAGAGAGAGAGAGAGAGAGAGAGAGAGAGAGAGAGAGAGAGAGAGAGAGAGAGAGCACTGTAATGGGGATGACCCACGAAACTAGATGAGGATGTAAGCTGTTCTGTGGAACAGGCCTGGTGTGCCACTATCTGTGAAATTGGGTCTCGTGAGCGGGCTGGGGCAGTGTTAGGTTTCAAGGTGGAGAAAGGGTGCTTTGAGTTTGTCCCACACTGATATATCTAGTTATGGATATTTGAGGGGTTTCAAGATCTTGATACTGGTACTGGTACTGGTACTGGTACTGGTAATGTTACTGTAACTGGTCCTGGTACTGGTCAATGGTACTGGTCAATGGTACTGGTCAATGGTACTGGTACTGGTACTGGTACTGGTAATGTTACTGTAACTGGTCCTGGTACTGGTCAATGGTACTGCCTACTGGTACTGGTCATGGTACTGGTCAATGGTCATGGTTCTGGTCCTGGTACATCACTTTCAAAGTTTGCAAAGACGTTGGCCATTGAGATAGCTATATTGATTAATAAACTATATAATAAGTCAGTGAGACTCAGCATGTTTATTGTTTAGGGTTGACCGTGGTGGGTAGTTTATTAAGTTAGGAATCCTGGCCAAATCCTTGAGCTTCCAAACCATGAAGTAACTGTTACGGTTGTAATACACGTAATTTAATGAGTGGTAATTATACCATAATTGGATAATTATTGCTTAGCAACTCACTTAATTGGGAGGTTGAGTACGAATCTTTTGACGAGGATGCAAGTTGGGCTGCTAAAACGGTTTCTTCTTCCCCTGCCGAGGAGGCATTTCCCATTCCTAACAGAGTTAATTGGTTAATTACTTTAATTAATGGATAACATTAATTGATTATTGGATCAATTTTTATGAAACTATCAATCAATCAAACATACAATAAAGATAACTACATAACAATATGATCTCCGAACGGAAATCTACAAAAGAAAAAAGGAAGATGAGCATAAAATATTCTAGGCTACAGCTGAAACTGTGTCCAGACTAACAACTAAGAGTGTCGAACTAAAAGACACCTATTTACTTCTGCTTTCCCCAAGAGATATGATAATATATGAACTATCCTAGCTTTCATCACTTGCTGAATCCAGAAAGCAATAATTACTAACAATTACCGATGACAGCGGTCTGGTTACCTCAAGACATTGACAACAATAAATCCAGAAAAATGTTCAAGTATTGTGCCATAACGGTGGATATAAGCACGTGAATTTAAAATATATGTTTACAATAATATATCATTTATATTACATATATTTGTTCCAGGTATGTGGCAGGAAGGAAGCTTTGGAGAGACAAAATCGAGACTTGAGCATTGAAGCCGCCTCAAGTCGGACAGCAAGTCTGTAACGAATTTTCTTTGCAACGTTTCAACGATGAAAACGAAAATGTTCTTGATAAAACATTAATTCTACCATTTGAAAAAAAATGGTATATAATACAGCTATATTAATATACAGGAAGAGAAATACAGGAAGGGTTCTGCAGAACAAAATATCGGTTGAGCAAGAGAGAAATAAAATATAAAGTGTTATTGTCTCCGAGATCCAGAGAGAGTGTGCAAGTGGCTCAGCTGTAACGTGCCTCTACCGCTAAATATTGATTTATTGCGCAACCACGCTCGCATCTACAATACAAAAATTAAAGCTTACGTATTTATATTGACGGAAAGTTCCATTTCAACCACTTTGCAGTACGAAAAACAGAAGAAAATGCAGAAAATTGATAGAGCAGCGCATTAAGCTGGTCGGTTATAATATCACTGTGATGATGATTAACAAGTACAACTTGGAAATACTGTCCAGTAAACTTAGCCGCTAACTAACGTACACCCGACCCAGTAACTACAAGATCTAGAGCTGTAAAGCTACCAGCTCTAGACTGGAGAGGTACTACTAGTGGCAGGGGTAGGTGCACGTAGACTCTAATATTATGACAGGGTAACTTTGTGAAGCCTTGTCAACTGCGCGCGTTACCAAAACAAGGATATATCGCACGTGGCGGGTGCTCTACCAAAACAAGAATCACTTGACCAGAATCAGAGACAAGGCTGACATAACACAGGACGTATGATGCAAGACTAACATTACATACCAAGTTAACATTACATACCATGCTAATATAGATGTAATGGTAACGCTTATCACCGGTATTTAATACTGGTGTTTTATGTAACATTAGCGCTACCTCACAATAATATCACAGCAGCTGCCTAATGACTCTAGCTCGGATTCGTGTCGTTTGCGGAGAGGGAGAGACTGGAATTAGGCTAGGTTCTTAAATACAGCGTACAAAATACCTATTTATAAACACGAAGATATCCCAGTAGAGGTGACGAAGGGTTTTCTTTGCGCGTTTTAAAATTGTAATTATTGGGAATGCTTTTTTCAGGATGACTGCGTTGTAAGACCTGAAAAATTCTCAAAGTAAACTAAATCACGGCAAACAGGTGTTAAATATAGCGAACTGTGTAGCAAACTGCTGCGAAGTTGTAATATAATGACCGTCATAATCTTTAGTATGGCAAGTTACTAAAAATAGATAAAGTATTGTAAACAGGATAACGCTAATAATGGCTGTGAAGGATGCAAGTCTATATCGAGCAGGATGCAGCGAGTAACACTCGCACTTAAATTAACACTAGCATATTATAAAACACTGTACTAACAAATTGTTGAGCACTATCATAATAATATCTAACACTGAAATATCATAAAATTCTAACAATTAAATTAGCTCTAACATAATATCTAACAAGATGAGCGCCAAACTGAGCTCTACCGACCAGGTAAAACAACTACTATCGTATAACGTATCTGAACAACACGCACACTAACAATACTATCGTATTGTTAGTGCAGCCCACGTGCAATTGTAGCGCCCACGTGCAATTGTAATAGCAATGCCCACATATAAACCATGGAATGTACATGTTAACTTGTATCTCAATGACCGAGGACCACTAATGAATAACAACTATCTAGCACATAGGATGGCTGCACATTTTCCGCTTCAAAGAGTCTTCTATTGTTAATATACAGCCAGTAAGGTCACGTGATAGCCAGTGCAGTGGGTTGGAGAAGGAGGTGCGCGGCACGAGGACCCCACGTGACCATGATGAAAGGAGGAGTGTTGGGAGAAAGTGCGGTGGAACCTGAGATACTGGAGAAAACAATTGAGTTCAGTATGGAATCATAGTATTTGGTGGTCTCTCAAATGACTGTAGAGGAGGACAATGTTAAGAGATAATGACAATTGCTGGACAATGACACGACGCTTTTTGCAATGACTGTAGTTAGTGGAAGCCGTTTTTAGAAGCGGTTAAATTACTTAGAGAAGAATGGTATCAAGAGAAAGTTAAGATACGGGAGAAAAAATTGAGTTCAGCTTGAAATCATAGTATTAGATGATCTCTGTAAAGGAGGAATAATGTTAAGAGGTTATGATAATTGCTGGACAATGACAAGACGTTTTTTTAATGACTGTAGTTAGTGGAAGCCGTTAAATTACTTAGAGTGGTTCTGCCATGTGACATTGGTTTGCGAAACAGATATAGTGTACACCAAAAAGATATTTAATGTGTAATAGTTGTGCAGTAACTACAGCTTTTGTGTGGAATAATTATACGTATACGTGCACACTTCGTGCACACTATATACTAATGCGTGCAAACCATGTGAGTAAACCGTATTTTATTAACGTCCGAAGTACGTAAAAACTTTTGTAAATGTGCCGTGTGCACACTACAAGAACGCGTGCATACTGCGTGCAAACCAAAACTAAAAGTGCGCACTACAAGCGACAGTGATGATGAGACAGGAATTACAAAAGCTACACGTTAAATCCCCCACCGAAGTCTTACAAACTAACATGTACGGCAGAAAAGGAGGTCTCCAACAGCGGGGTTAACATCAACACCACCCAATACTTGGCATCCAGCCAACTCTACAGCCAACTCTAGCCAACTTAGTAGCCCTGCCAGACTTGCCCGGACATAACTGGACATGGCGAAAGCTTTTGACACCCTAGAAGTTTTGACACCACAGATAAACTGTGCTGTATCTCTGCTGTAAATGTTGGAGTACCCGGGCATATACAGATAGAGACAATATCCACACCTAAACTCGTGCTAGTTGAGGAGTTACAGTGGGATGTTCCGGATCAGTTTCACTCCCCGAGTCTAGCTACTCAAATGAATGAGAGAATTCCACGTATCTTACCTCAGGTATGATGATAGAATTGTGCGACTCAGTTAGATCGGCTGCGGAGTATAGATTGCGTGCGGAGTATAGTTTGCGTGCGGAGTGTACGTGTTTAGCGCAATGGGAGGGGTTACATCATGGTGTAAAACTGTAAAATATTACAGGAAAATGTCGGTATAGTCAGCGGTGTAGACTTTCTAAGCGACAAAGCTGTTGTAACTGAGACATAACGTCATCTCCAAACCTTTTTAGGGTGGAATTGGGCAGGAGTATAGTTTGCGTGCGGAGTGTGTGTGTGTGTGTGTGTGTGTGTGTGTGTGTGTGTGTGTGTGTGTGTGTGTGTGTGTGTGGGGGGGGGGGGGGGGGGGGGGGGGTGGGGGGGGGGTTTTTGGATAAATGTTTGAGAGACAGAATGAGGGGAATGAAACAAAGAGAGGGAAAGACACAAAACGAGATGTTGTTTAAAGGTTACTAATCGCATTTCTCATCACGTGATTTAAAAGAGAGGACAAGCGCAACTGGGAGAAATAACGAGATCTGGTTAAGTTAACAAATCAAATGTTTGCACGGTTACTACGCAATATATCTGCAGCTACGCAATATATGCAGTTGGAAAGCCTCCCACTCACTCAGTTCTAATCATATCACGTGACGTAAACCCATACCACGTGATCAGCACGAGTCACGTGACACTATACCTATTTCCAGTTATTACCGCACTCCTTCCGTGGTCTCCGTTTTCCGGCCTCATCACAGCCCCACTAACCGGTCTCCTACATTGTTTGTGATAATGACACTGTTACTATCTTAGAGCCATGACGTTATGACATACACTGAATATCTCCCGCGTTACGCTAGAACATTTTTGTAATGTTTATTTACGTCACACAGAATCGCGCGCAAATCTGATGAAATCCTCTTTAAATAGTGACTCGATATAATGGTACACGGGAGTGTTGAGTTACCGTAATGACGGAATATTATGCTAATTAGTATGTGATTATGTGGACAGAGGGAGACATGTGGACCAAGGACATCAGTTGTTACTTGTTAGACGAGTGGTGCTGCCAGGTGATAGGTGTTACCAGGTGATAGGTGTTGGATAGACTGTGACGGAACACACCTTAACACTCTTATTTCATGGTCCTAGTTTGTGCTATGTAATCTACACTACGTATATCAGGATAGCATTAAATGTGGTATATTACGTTTGTGTTCCCCTCAGTTACACAGCGTGGCACAGAAACCCCTTCTCTGTAGCAGGCCGTGCACCGCCTCCGTGCTGTAGCTGCTCTGCAGTCTTACATCCGTGTATTTGCGCATTATCTGCCCGACCCGCTGACAGACTTATTGATTACGACTACTTGGAAAATGTGTCACGTGACGACATTTTGGGAGTTCGCAAAGTGCAAATATTTAGCGCAATGGGAGGGGTTACATCATGGTGTAAAACTGTAAAATATTACAGGAAAATGTCGGTATAGTCAGCGGTGTAGACTTTCTAAGCGACAAAGCTGTTGTAACTGAGACATAACGTCATCTCCAAACCTTTTTAGGGTGGAATTGGGCAGGAGTTTAGGTTGAGTATAAGATACAGATTACATTACGTCACGAGGAGGAGGATATGTTCAGATCAGAGAAGAA